ATATATATATATATATATATATATATATATATATATATATATATATATATATATATATATATATATATATACACAATTTTCATGTATTTAAGATGTGTTTATATTACCTGATCTGAATGAGAAGAATAGACATTTTCACATGACTGAATTCCACTATTTATTTCTAAATACCCATTATATAGCTTTTATATTTGGGAGCAGTGTGCTTGTGCTCTGAGAAGGTTGCAAGTACCTGTTTCAATCCCCACAGCCTCCACTCTAGGCTCCTGAGCAAGACCCTTAACCCCACACTGCTCCCTGGGCACTGCACAATGGCAGCCCACTGCTCCCCAAGGGGATGAGTTAAATTCAGAGAGTGAATTTCCCCATTGTGGGACAATAAAGGATTTACATATGAGATTATAAAAGTTGCTGATCAAGTTTTAAACTTTTGATTTTCTGTGACAGTACCATGCCACGCAGTCCCTATTTTAGGTGATGAAAAAAATGTCATTTATGCATTTTAAAACATGCAAAAAACTTTTAACATTAGGCAGCACTTATTCGTTAAGTGCTGCCTAATGCCTGTTTCATGTGGGGACATTTAGCTATTTACATATCTTAAACTAATCCAGTTTCCACTCAGTACACTAGCAAACTGACTTGTAGCTGGTGTAGTCAGTGGTTGTTGATTTTATTTTCCCCTTTGATATTTCATATCAACACATTTGTAGTGGTTCCAAGTTATCTCCATATCTGCAAATAATTATTTTTACCCAGTTCCTTTAACATTTGTTCACATTTTACTGTCCTTGAGAACTAATAAGTAAAGAGTGTTATAGAAACAAGCAATTCTAATGTAGGATTCATAGTAATTGTACTTGATATCACATCCTTAATCAAATGGATCTTCTAAACTCTTTTTTTTAGATCTTATATAACTTTGGAGATTATCATTCTAATCAAACAAACAAGTAAGACTCTGAAAGAGCTCCTACTGGTAGATATGATAGTTAGATTCACATAACATTCCCTCTATGAGTAGAGCGCTCAAAATTAGTTCAAAATACTTGGCTGTCAAAATAGTGGAGGAAATGCCCCTATAATGGATAGGACTGAATGCACATCTATCTGTATGACTTAGACTCATCATCTTAGGGTATTCTGTCCTTCAAGGTTCCTGTCCAAGGTCACTGAAGTGTCATATTTTATCTCTCTCTTCTGCAAACATTCAACATTTCTTTTGTATATTTATTTGTATTTTCTTTAGTTATATCCATCCTTTTTACCTTCTATATTCTGCCTATCTTTGCTTTACTTCACTTACTTAACCAAACTACCTGAAGCATATCGTTTTCCATTAGACATCTTGTAGTTCAGTTACTGTGCCTAAAGGATTAATTTAGCTAGTCAGAATGAACCATCAAAGAGGGCATTTGCAAAGGATGGGTATCGATTTAGAAAAGCTGGTTTACAAACATGTTAGAGAATGAAATGAGATAACAGCATTTTCTATTACTTTTGACCATCCGACCTGAAAGCTTAAGGTTTCAGTGGCAGTTTGTTAATCAATACATGGACACAAACAACAGGCTGTAGTGAAATAAAGACTGGGCAAGTGGTAATTTGCTATCTGACTTTTAATCTGTCCAATATAAGGTGCATTTTTGGTCCAATTGTATTTCTATTCAGCACTCTGTGCAAATAGCATTAAGTTATTGGTAACATTTTTTTTTCTCTCATGGATGAAACAAAGGCAAATTAAAACAATTTATGACTTAAACTTTGTATTCAGTAGAGAGTAAAATTAGCAGTTTATCCAGCATTTTTTTTTAATATTAAGGATCAGATATAATGAACAATTCCAAGTATGATAATTTGCACAGATTTTCAGATCTTGTGCCCCACTTGCTGGATAGTAAACCATCAAATAACAATGAAACTGAGAAGGATCTTTCATCATTCAGCTTCAGTCATTACTAATCATTTTAGCATGTTTGGAAAAGAGCACTAAAATAAGAGCTCCTACCCCTGAAGTCAAGATCTGTTTTCCTTTATCCGTGAAACACCTGCAGTTTATTAATACTGGAAGTTGTGTGGAACCATGTTTGAATTACTATTTTTGGTTAGTTTGGTATTAAGTACAAAAACAAGGAAGTGTAACCATTAACCGTAAAACACACCTACTGTAAGGACATTGTTTTAATTGCTTTTTTTATGCCTTAAAGGTCTGGGTTCTTCTTCACTTCTCTTTCAGTAGAAATAGATTACAACTACATCTACAACAGCAATAACTCTGTCAAGATGATCATTCATATTATAACAGCTATAGGACAGTGCTTAGTAATTGTATTTTTATTCATGCATAATATTGTGAGCACAGGAAGGAAGACATAAACATATCCTGATGAGAAGGCGCTCAGATGAGAGACCAGTTTTCACTGACTCCCAATGTGTTTTAATCATAGATGTGAAATAAAACCATGTGATAGAAGTGTAATTAATGAATGAAAGACTTGGATTAAAATTGAAACCTATTTCTTACTCACACATTAAGTACATCATCTGCCTGAGCAGACTTTTGACCCTTTTCTGCAGCAATGAGAAATTTGCCCTTTGCAGAGCTGGTCTGTGTCTCTCGCTGAAACTGCGCAGCTTTAGCGTGTGGCCACCCTCATATAAATAGACATATATTTTAAAGCAGATGTGCATATTTAATGCTGATTTTCTTTTGTTGGCTCTTGCATTTGATCTGCTTGTTATTTATTTATTAGTTTTGCTTGAATTACAGGGTGAATATATAGAGAGAGCTGAGATGGATTGCCTGTCTTCTGCTCATCTCCATGCATATATAGAACATATGCAATAGTGCCGTGAAAAACAGGGGTTCCTTTTTTCTACTTAATGAAATTCTGTACCAT